TTGCCAGGTCAATCCACAGCATACTGCATCCCTAAGACCAAAAGTACAATGGTAGCTTCTACTTTTCTGACCATTCCACTTCCACTTGCTCTCGTCATCATACTCTGCTTTGCGATTGGATACAAGGTTTGGAAGAGAAAAGTCCCCGGAGAAGGTGGACAACAGGCTGCTGATAGGACATCTAGGAAAGTAACCTACATGATAATATCAGTTGTTTTGGCTTTTATTGTATCATGGGCTCCAATACTTACTGCTAGTTCTCTTTTTAAAGAATATCCCAAGAGTATGTTTCTCTTAGGGATTGTATGGCCCATTGCATTCTCTTTTATGTATCTCAATGGCCTATTTAACATGGCTATTTACTATATTTTTAGCGAAAACTATCGTAGTGCATTCAGGGCTTTGTTAAGTAATRTGAGGTCGTTGTTTCCGCGACGGGTACTCTTCAGTAACGTCATTGGCGGGACARTGTCACCAGTAGTAGGTGAAGTGACTACGGTTTCTTTAAGACCGATAAATGTSAAATAATATCTTCTAATGAATGTTGTTTAAAGAAAGCATATTGTTAATTCGTGTACGGTTCTGTAAGTTAATGGTTTTTAAATAATACCGACTACATCCCATCCAAAGTATGTTATAAAAAATAGACATGACTCCGCTATGGCATTGAGGTGGAGGTAGCTGTTCTGGGGGCAGGTTGGGGCGCCCCTGGGCCACAATCGACATTTCTGTAGTACCCCACATTCCAGTTACTTACATAGTAGTATTATACTTTTTAAAGTATCAGGACTGTTAAGCAGGTTATGACTGGATAAATAAAATTTGATTAAAATTTCGGAATTGCAAAATACAAAGCGTTAAAGATTCCGATAAAAATCAGTAATCAACTGTTATGGCTATGGCTTACATAAAGTCAGATAACCATAAGTGTGTACAAGCAAGTTCGTAGAGAAAGTGTAATGAGCCTCTTGTTCAACTTAGAATTATCTCAATGTATATAAATAAAATTCCTAAAGTGGTTATTCTAAGTTGCTGGCATCGCGATTTTCTTAAATTTTCATGAACTGATCATACGACGGTTATTGACTACAGAACTCTTAATTCCAAAGAAACTATTTGTCGACCGAATTATGGGGAAAAAAAGCGTCAATGACTTTATGGACTGGARTTACAACACACTGAGGAGTACACGAGACATGGGGATTATTCAGTAAAAGATTGATAAATTCTGATTTAAAGTCTGCTGTATAAGCAAACAAATYTAAAGTGCAACTAACCCCTGAAAAATGACATTTTTTTCTAAAATTTGGGAAGTTTCTACGAGCTTTGGCGAAAAGTGACTCGTTTTCATTCGATTCCTTATTTTTGGCTCATGTTTTAAGTTGGATTTCGGATGGAAAGACTCGAAAGTATGGAAACGAGTCAACCCAAACAATAAGACAATACCTTCTCTTTTGGTGTGTTGTTACAACCGTAAACAACACACCGATTCGGCATTTTTAACTCGAAAATCTATAAAAACTCTACTASCARCAGTGTTTACATGATGGTCTGGTTTTACCGACAGCTGCAGTTCAATGTACAATTTAATATCACTGATCTAGGCTTTTGACATCCGCTAATTACAGTCAAAAGACATGAAGCGCGCCCCCTCAAAACCATTATTCGATTCTTGGTCGATTTAGACATTGAAATCAACTTTGAATTCAAGCTTCGAAATTTGATTGGATTGCTGTCGAAAATCATTCGAAAAATGATTTTCTGTTTTCAATAACTCTTTCGCATCAAGTGATTCGTAGTTTTCCTACTTTAGTTCTCGTAWTCTTCTAATTTATATTGCACACATTTCATCTTCTTTTGATGTGGAAAATGAAAAGAACATTGTTTGCTTTTGTTGTTTTTACTTTACTTTCTTTATCGTTGGCGTCCAATGGAAGATTTCAAAACTTGAATGTGAAGAATGACACTTTGCAGCGTCAAGGTAAGATCTCAATTGTTGTGATCCAATTTAACAAGATGCAATAATAATTTGTGGTGAATTATTCGCTGAGAGGTAGGAATGGAAAATAAATAAAATGATTGTCGTTGAAAACATTTGTTAGTGAATCATACATATTTACTTAGTGCGAATAACGATTTAAAAAGCATATTTCATCTTGTCGATCCCGACGTTTTCTTCAATTTGCAGTATCTTGACTATAAATTCCGTTTTTCGTTCAATTTATCGAACTGGGGAAAGTGTTTCACTTTAATGTCGAAAATAAGCACAATGCTCTTCATTTTGAGCTTAGTGTGAAAGCTAAAAATTGGCAGCTTTTCATTCGAGAATGGAGTGAAGATCTTGAATTATGAGGAACATAATAAATCCACTGTACTTTGGTAGAGCAAATCGGACAACGTTACTTCACCATTTAGGTCGAATATAGTATATTGATTGATTCCAAAGAATTCCAATGAATTCGAAATTGCTTCATGATTAATTAACCTATACACTATGACAAAAATGAAATGAATGTTTCGAGCCGTCATGCCTCCCACCCTCCCGCCAAAAATGAATATTTGTGAGGCTCCGCCCCTGATTGATTCCAATGAATTCGAAATTGTTCGATGATGACCCTACGCCGCCCCTGATTGATTCCAATGAATTCGAAATTGTTCCATGATGACCCTACGCCGTCCCTGATTGATTCCAATGAATTCGAAATTGCTTGATGATGACCCTACGCAAAGCAATCCCCTTTACAGTGCCATCATTTTACTTTTATCTAGACTATGGACCATTTATGCGAGCACACGAAGTAGACTACTGGACTAAAGTAGCAATCGTCAGTATGACAGTAATTACAACTCTATCTTCATTAATCAGCAACAGCCTCATCATCCACAGTGTTCGAGTCAACCGACACATGCACACAACARCCAACTACTTTATAGTCAACATGGCCTGTGCAGATATTCTTCTTGCTCTAATTGGGGGTCCTTATAACATYAAGTAYACTATCGAGTGGTCTGCCTGGTTTCCWGGGCTGCTTGGACTGATCACWTGTGATGCTTATACGATTGTACAGCATATTGGAGCYGGTTGTTCAACATTCAGTCTTGTGGTAATATCATTCGACAGACTGATGGCTGTCAGTCACCCTTTGAAGTACAAAAGCCATTTTTCATCAAGCAAGTACCTTATGATACTAACATGGCTAGTCTCAGTTGGCTTAGCATTTATACCTATAGGTCAATCAGATGTTGTCACTTTCCCCAGTGAAGACAAAACATATTGTTTCCCCAGGAGCAGTGTTGGTTTTCAAACTACTTCTATATTAAATATTCTACTTCCAATAACTCTCGTTATCATACTCTGCTGTGCGATTGGATACAAGGTATGGAACAGAAAAGTCCCCGGAGAAGGTGGGCAACAGGCTGTTGAAAGGACATCTAGGAAAGCAACCTACATGGTAATATCAGTTGTTTTGGCGTTTATTGTTGCATGGGCTCCAGTAATGATTTCTACCCTTTTATTTCATCAAGACAGGAGTGTGTTTGTTATAGGGATTTTCTGGCCCATAACTTACTCATTCACATTTCTTAACGGCCTATTTAACATGGTCATCTTCTATATCTTCAGTGAAAACTATCGCAGTGCTTTCAAAAGTTTATTTAGCAGTCTTGGATCGATGTTTCAGCGAGCAGCACGTAACAACAACATGGTTGCTAGGGGAGTATCAACGTCGGAAGGGGTAGTCAATGTGGTTGCCTTGAGACCAGTGAATAATGACTGACTGAATGTTTTTAGAAACGRTTCGGTCGAAGGAGTTAGCACTCATAGCAGGTTGATCTTTTCATGGCGAACTGATTTTTTTTCAAAACTACTACTTAAACACAGCAAATTGCCCTCAAGGGGCTACAGTAATTATAATTACCAAACACTAATTTGCATTCCTTTGATTAGTTCTCAGTCCGGTATTTTCGAGGTGTTTAAGTAACCTCCCTTTTCTACTTCGACGCTGATCCGTATAAATAAAATGTGCTGATGATGATGAGGTGGCTTTATATCAATGTAAAAGTTCCGTCAAATAACTGTTTGCACCTCTAGTACAAATCAGATTGATTCAATCTTTATTTAAAGCAATTTATTGATCTCTAAAATAAAACCTGCTGGAAATTTTCTTTGTGGGTTAATAATCATCAGACCCATTTTCTACACACTCTWCTAGATTGACCATGCAGGCGTTTTGAAGACGAATTTCAGGTRAAAAACGACTCAAGACKCTGACAGTTCTAAAACCTCTMTAGAAGAGTACTTTTCTGTTGTGGTCCTYCACATTTCGTTTGAACTGTCGTATGCCGCGTCTTAATTTAATAAATTGGATTACAAAAAAGTAGGTCTAGATATTCTCCGGAAATGAATGTTGGATCTTGGAGATAATTAACTCTAATCATGATCAGCTAGGGGTTTATGTTATTGGATTGCAAAAAAATATATGTTAAGATAAAGAGATTCTCAGGAAATGACAGGTCGGATCCTGGAGATGAGTAATTCCTATCAGTTGGTGGTCAGAAACTTTTATCGCTGAAGCAGATGGCATTATTTTATTGTAATTAACATTTCGGAAATTGGAAACAGTATGTACCTGTGATGAAAGAGCGAATTAATGTAATATGAAGTTTGCTTTTGCAGCTGTTCTCTTTAATCTATTGCATGTCAAAAACTTTAAATTATTCAATTGTTTCTTCTAAGTACATGGCCAAATTCTATAGATGTCGCGATAAGTAATTTCATTTTCATTAAAAGAATTNCAAAGCAATCCCCTTTACAGTGCCATCATTTTACTTTTATCTAGACTATGGACCATTTATGCGAGCACACGAAGTAGACTACTGGACTAAAGTAGCAATCGTCAGTATGACAGTAATTACAACTCTATCTTCATTAATCAGCAACAGCCTCATCATCCACAGTGTTCGAGTCAACCGACACATGCACACAACARCCAACTACTTTATAGTCAACATGGCCTGTGCAGATATTCTTCTTGCTCTAATTGGGGGTCCTTATAACATYAAGTAYACTATCGAGTGGTCTGCCTGGTTTCCWGGGCTGCTTGGACTGATCACWTGTGATGCTTATACGATTGTACAGCATATTGGAGCYGGTTGTTCAACATTCAGTCTTGTGGTAATATCATTCGACAGACTGATGGCTGTCAGTCACCCTTTGAAGTACAAAAGCCATTTTTCATCAAGCAAGTACCTTATGATACTAACATGGCTAGTCTCAGTTGGCTTAGCATTTATAYCTATAGGTCAATCAGATGTTGTCACTTTCCCCAGTGAAGACAAAACATATTGTTTCCCCAGGAGCAGTGTTGGTTTTCAAACTACTTCTATATTAAATATTCTACTTCCAATAACTCTCGTTATCATACTCTGCTGTGCGATTGGATACAAGGTATGGAACAGAAAAGTCCCCGGAGAAGGTGGGCAACAGGCTGTTGAAAGGACATCTAGGAAAGCAACCTACATGGTAATATCAGTTGTTTTGGCGTTTATTGTTGCATGGGCTCCAGTAATGATTTCTACCCTTTTATTTCATCAAGACAGGAGTSTGTTTGTTATAGGGATTTTCTGGCCCATAACTTACTCATTCACATTTCTTAACGGCCTATTTAACATGGTCATCTTCTATATCTTCAGTGAAAACTATCGCAGTGCTTTCAAAAGTTTATTTAGCAGTCTTGGATCGATGTTTCAGCGAGCAGCACGTAACAACAACATGGTTGCTAGGGGAGTATCAACGTCGGAAGGGGTAGTCAATGTGGTTGCCTTGAGACCAGTGAATAATGACTGACTGAATGTTTTTAGAAACGRTTCGGTCGAAGGAGTTAGCACTCATAGCAGGTTGATCTTTTCATGGCGAACTGATTTTTTTTCAAAACTACTACTTAAACACAGCAAATTGCCCTCAAGGGGCTACAGTAATTATAATTACCAAACACTAATTTGCATTCCTTTGATTAGTTCTCAGTCCGGTATTTTCGAGGTGTTTAAGTAACCTCCCTTTTCTACTTCGACGCTGATCCGTATAAATAAAATGTGCTGATGATGATGAGGTGGCTTTATATCAATGTAAAAGTTCCGTCAAATAACTGTTTGCACCTCTAGTACAAATCAGATTGATTCAATCTTTATTTAAAGCAATTTATTGATCTCTAAAATAAAACCTGCTGGAAATTTTCTTTGTGGGTTAATAATCATCAGACCCATTTTCTACACACTCTWCTAGATTGACCATGCAGGCGTTTTGAAGACGAATTTCAGGTRAAAAACGACTCAAGACKCTGACAGTTCTAAAACCTCTMTAGAAGAGTACTTTTCTGTTGTGGTCCTYCACATTTCGTTTGAACTGTCGTATGCCGCGTCTTAATTTAATAAATTGGATTACAAAAAAGTAGGTCTAGATATTCTCCGGAAATGAATGTTGGATCTTGGAGATAATTAACTCCAATCATGATCAGCTAGGGGTTTATGTTATTGGATTGCAAAAAAATATATGTTAAGATAAAGAGATTCTCAGGAAATGACAGGTCGGATCCTGGAGATGAGTAATTCCTATCAGTTTGGTGGTCAGAAACTTTTATCGCTGAAGCAGATGGCATTATTTTATTGTAATTAACATTTCGGAATTGGAAACAGTATGTACCTGTGATGAAAGAGCGAATTAATGTAATATGAAGTTTGCTTTTGCAGCTGTTCTCTTTAATCTATTGCATGTCAAAAACTTTAAATTATTCAATTGTTTCTTCTAAGTACATGGCCAAATTCTATAGATGTCGCGATAAGTAATTTCATTTTCATTAAAAGAATTGTATGAGACGGATGTAATGTANTTGAATTGCCAGTTTATGGCCAAAACTACACGCTGTGAATGCATTTGGGTCATCGGTAGCTAATTAGGTGATGAATTAGACGTTTCTTCGAATATTCGAGCCATGAAACGGACGCCGAACAAGATGAAGTAGCGACCGATCAAGCTCGCCAAAGGAGTGCAATATTAGTTAACTCTATCTTTAATGAGTATTCGTCTTCTCTTTAGTAGTAGAAATAACGGCTGATTTGTATTTTTATCGTGGCTTCAGTATAGTTTTGCTCTTGCAAAAATTCATGTAGCAGAACAATAACACCGCGCCGACTAGCAGGCTGTCGGCGAAGCAACAGTTCCACAAACTCACTATTATTCAACTGTAAAAGACCCATTCTGTCCTTTGTTTCCTTCCAATGTTCGTATGTCGWGGCCTTTTGAACGTGATATCCCTCAGTTATTTCTTCTTTCCGAMGTGGACGACCGCGAGAAGATTTCCGTTACGTTGATTTGGAGCCATATCGGCAAACTCAAAATAAGACGTTTAAAAAGACTCAATATTCGAAATAATTCAAGAAAAYGAATATATGTTACATAAAGAACTAATATATATCGAATTTATAAGGAAAAAGTTAGAGATGTTTCAGATTTTAGACGGATTGTGTAAGCTATCACTAAAAATAATTTCGATGTCATCGAAAATGGCGCTGATCAAGGTCTTCGCTGTAATTCGAGGCGCGCAAAGCATCACCCTGGGACGGCTCCTTTAACACCTAGCTAGCTAACGTGATATAGTCTTGGGACAAGGACATATACCGACATCCAAAATGTTGCAAATGTTCTCCCAAATCGGTGTCCTTTTTTTCTCTTAACTATATTAAAGAATAAACAATGCAGTATAAACAATGTGCTTTTGTGTGAAACAGTTCATATATATACGTGTATTCCTCTTGCCTACTTATTGGCCTTTTTACTGTAGTTTCGAAGACTAAGCAGTGCCCGTCTCATGCCGCAACTGATGTATATAAATTAGCTCGSTGAAATTCCTCTTCCTTGTTTGGTAATTTCAAACTTGCTTCCTGCAAATGACTTTGGGGAATCTGTGATCAAGGGCGTCTGTATTGTTGGCAAAAAAAAGATATTAGTACTCATAAAAAGTTCATTAGTAATTTTTTTTCTTTTTTATCATTACTCGATTATCAGTCACTGATGATTTGTTTGCTCACTTTTTGTCGTTATCGATTTTTTTTTCGGGGAGGGGGGGGGGACTTCCCCTTATTAAAGTTAATGGTTTATCCCTAGTCTTCAAATATTCTGATCATACAATATGTACATCGGTAAACCATATTAATAATAGCAACTGTCCAGTCATTACCTCTGAGCTCGTTTATATCTTTTTGGTAAAGTGGTCGTAAGAATGCCACAATACCCCGTAGTTTTCCTTTCATCACTGCTGCAGTTTCCCTGTTGTAACCAATGTCGAACACATCGACTGGAGGGTTTGGGAATCCAACTCCCTTCGGATTATTGTCCGTTACAAGCTCCTGGCCTACTTTTTCTCCGTTGATATACATCGACGCCAAGCCTTCTCCCAAGGAGTAGCGGTTCCAGATTGCGACTATGTTTACCCATTGATTGGTTGGCAAACCCCTTCAAAAAGTAAAAGAGGTTTTAAAAATCTCCATTTGAGCTTAGAAGATTATGTTGTTGTATACATTAAACAATTAACTGACATGAAAAACACTGTAGAGGATATTACATGGGCGCGCGGATTTTATCTTCGAGTGTTGAAAAAGTTGAAAAGATCTGATTTCCAACACGAGAAGATAAAATCCGTATCTCCAAACGACCATGTAATATTCTGTTTATCATATAATTACATATGAAAGCAAATTATGTCGTAAAGCAGCTTTTTCCTTACTTCCACTATACAGAGAAACCTCGAATGTGTTATTTTCACTAATGAAAATGTCAACTTTACGCAATGGAGAAATGTAGATATTTCATGGATCATGTGGATAGTTTTACGATAAATTCTGTTCTTTTTAGAAAAAGAAAAATTCTCATAAAAATCAACCTGATTATAAGGAAGAACTGAAAAAAATGATGAAGCATAGCAGGAAACAATTAATGTAATCACTAGTTCTAAGCCAAGTATGAAATAATTAAAACAATAGCATTAAAGGCAACAAATTCTGATTCAATTTCGAAAATTCGGATCCTTAAATCATCAACAGTTCAACTTACCTTCCATGTGTAACCTTGAACCGCGTGCCTCTTTGCAAGTATACTTTCCTGGCCGTAAACATGTTTGGGGTAATTGCAAATACATGGGGATTGCCCCATGACGAGTAAACCTGTGGCGAGGTATCTGCCGTCGTAAAGGGGCTGAAATCAGATGACTTTATCCAGAATGAGATTGTGAAGTTTACTTGTGAGAGGGCAAACTTGGGGGTTGTTGCATAAGAGCCTGCAGTGCCTGGTAATTCAAGGACAGCGTCGATAGTATCATCGTCTTCCTGGTATGATGCACCACCATATATCCTAACACAGTTCGAGGTATATTTCTTAGTTTATTATTACATATTGTTGCTTAATAAGGTTGTTACTATCATGGGCAGTCGGCAGCACTGCACTTACTCCTATTGCTTTATGACCTTCATTGGCACATATGATCATCATATGCAAATTTAGTTACAGAAACAATAACAAACGCTACTTGTAGAACTATCAACTGCCCCGACTTACTTCACGTCTGAATCTAAACCATCCAGTTTCCAGATCTTTGTTGGCCCCATTTCGCGTACTTCATGGTATTTATCTGCTTCTAAAAGATATCATCATGACAAGCATCAACATATTAAATTATCACATGAAAGAATCAATAGACCAAAATTAAAACAAAAGAAAAAATAGATTATAACTATTATAAAATTATCATGTAAACAAAGTTTTTACCAGGAAAAACTGCAAAAACAAATTGCTTGTGCAATGCACTTTGGAACTTGAGAACCACTTCTGCTTGATTAGCAATACACGTGGCATTGGCCTCGAGCACTGTTGTCCTGGTTTGGGTTGGGATAAACTTGAATGCAGATGATCCAAGTTGAAACCAACCATCGGGCAGAGCTAAAAGTCAAATATGAAATTAGCTACATAGTTAGTAACTAGACCTTGGAATCAATATCAGTTGCTTTGGCCAACAATCGATGAGATTCCAATATTCCAGTTAATTCGATCAATCTATATGGTGAGCTCGATCCCCCCAGTAGAATGGATTAAAAGCTTGGGCATATATGGGTAGATTAGTTTGCACATTGATAAGGTTATCACCATCTTACCTTTACGAAGAGTATTCCCAAAGTTAGTGGACTGTAAAGACAAGCAAGAATAGCCGACTTTAGATATTTTGGTTCGATGACTATGTACAAAAGAACGCACACGAGGCTCCGGGGAACAATGGATAATCTTGATTTATTCTTTTATTTCCCCGGAGCCTCGTCCGCAATTCTTTTGTGCATGGTCACTGAACCAAAATATCTAAAGTCGGCTATTGATATTTTTAATTATTTGAAAKTATGGAATATTTGGATATGAATATTCATTTTTACAACACTGTTATCAATTCTGTGTCAATTCTCGCGCGCTGATTGGCTAATTAGAGCGTGTCAATAAGAACATAGATCACACATTGTGCTGAAACATCACGACTCGACCGCTCAAGAAAAAATGATTTTCGCTGCTTATCTTTAGATTAAAGAAAACAAGAGGGAAAAAAACAAATTGCACACTTGTTCAAAACTGCTTAGCTCGTCATGTACACTTGGGATTTGAACATCTTAGTCCTTGTCCATAACAAGGATAAATACAATGAAAAACCATGAGAAATTTGCTTGGAATGATAGTGGAGTTAAGGCCGTATCTACAATCGGATTTGAGGGCAGGGCACGAGCACCGGCAGATGCGCTATTTGCAGCCTAAGACATGCAAACATTACAAGAAAATTTTTTTAACAAAGAAAACTTCAGAATTTTCGTCACACCTACCGATAACTCACTATGAATTCCTCCATCTTTCTTCTCAAAGCATTCTTTATCATCGAAAGAATTCTTTGTTCCTCTGACCAACTCACAAACGTCTGTTCCATTTTTATAAGTGTTCGTCGAGAAGCAGTTTAAGGTGTCTGCACACAGCTCCTGGCAGTCAACATGGTGGGCAGCTAAAGTTTTGAATATTCCACATCGCAGTCTCTTGTCCACGTGACGAACACCGAATCTTGCCAGAGAAAAAGCATTATCAACCACAGCAGTTGCAGCTACCAAAGCTAAGTTCATTAAAACTATCACAAGAAGAACCATAGTTACATGAAATAACTCGGCTGAGAAAAAGAAATATTGATTCAATGAGCTCAACGTAAATAGTTTAAATGATGTTGGTGCTGTTTTTATATGCACTATCGGATCAGAAAAACTCATTAAGAAATTACTGGTCCAATTTGATATGTTTTAAAAAACTAAAGAGAATCTTCGAGAATCTAAATCATTTAAAGCTCTTCTTTGAAACTCTGCATTGATTTCTTTTAATTAAAAATCTTTTTATATTTTTGTTGTGTGAATGTTGTATATGAGTAAACCTGTAAGAAAATCACAGAGCAACATTTATAAGAATTAGGTAATCCTTGTTTTTGCAATTTGTATATTTGCAGAAACAAACTATGATACTAAAGAACTTTCCATTATCTTTTGTCATTGTAAATGGGCTATTTGGAAACTCACACAAATACCAATTAAAGCCATCTTTTAAAAACTTTTTGTGTCTATTAATATTTCGAAGTGTTTGGATTATCTATTTTCGATTAAAAGTTATGTTTAAGACAGATAGAAACAGATTGAAGTGGAAGTTAATGTTATTTGATGTTTTTACGCGCGAAGCTCACTTGAAGGTATATAGTGACGTAAACAGAAAACGTAACGCAACGCACCACCCATACTAGCTGGAACAACGTTTAGCGCAAGAATAAAGATTCTCTCTAGACGCGATTTTTTTCCTCGGAAGCCATTTCTTTAAAGGTTTTTGATTGCTAGGGATTTCAATTTAACTCTAAACTGTGATCAAAGGGTGCGAAAAGTTTATTTAAATTCCCCTGGGATTGCGCGCAGGCAAGCATATTATAAATGACCGACTTCACGACTGAACAGATAATGAAGCAACATTCAAGTCAAAAATATCTCAAGATGAGCCATTGCAAATCTTTTCTGATTAGCTCTCATTTCGTTTAGAAGAGCAAGTGATGCAACCTGGGCAGTTTTGACAAGTTTTCGACGCTTTTTCTTCAAGCCACAAGCATTCTCAACAGCTAGGTTGGTTAACGTTATGTAACCAGGTATGCATGTAGCTTTAAGTTAACCGGGTTATAACGAGCGTTAGAACGGTGAGGATGCTACGGGCGTTATATGTCCATAGCGATGGTTTTTGTTGAATGGACTAAAGCAAACTTCACTGTGTTGAAAACACTACTTGACAAGCCTTCTTGCATCACGAAAGGATCTCACAAAATTCTATTCTAAAAAGCACGTTTACATTTGATTGAGTGGCGCGCGAAAATGTTTCACGTGATCATCGCATTGTTGATTCGATCTTTTTTTTTCCTTTCAATAAACCTACATCCCCTACATACAATCGACACTATACGTAAAACTGTTTTTTTTTAATAAAAACAAACAAACAAAATATCGAATTACGTGCGAGAATTCGAACTAGGGCGAAGGTGTTTATTTTTTATTTTTTTTATTTTTTTATATTTTTATTTTTTCTTTATTTACATTCTAATTAAATTTGCAACGAATTCAGATCAAACATTTACCAATTAGTAGTGACCTTGGCAATTTTTTTTTGTTAAACGTGAATGATTCATTATCAATTCTGGTGACACACTCAACAATTCAACATTACATGAACCACAGCTCAGCGAGAAGTGACGCAACTAATTCATTAAGTCATAGTTAATAGAAAGAACTAGTTGAGTTCAAACAAATCTTCGCATGCTGCTTCAGCGTTATTTTTTGTTTCTTTTATTTGAAAAGTCCCACGGCCACYCTGTGGCTCTCCTCTAAATATAATAAAATAATAATAATAATATGTGGTATTTATATAGCGCCGATATCCTCTGAGTTCAAAGGCGCTTCACATGTATAGATCATTACACACGGACCGCTGTTTAAGGCGCAATTGGCAGCCATGCGGCTTACAATCATGAGGGGTTAGTAATTAGTATGGGTTAGTAGTAAGGCCTAGCCACACACACCGGGAATCATTCCCTACTCTTATGCGAACAGTGGTGTAAATATGCACCAGATGCAGCACTATTCTAGGGTTAGAGAATGGCCAAATACGTACAAAAAGCCTTGTCTCTTTATCCACTGAACAAAGGCAAAAGTTACTTAGGCTTAGTCAAACCTATGTTTAGTACAACTCAGAACATGTAGTAATGTAATGTTACACTGGGACAAATTAATTAAAAAATGCAATGGTGCGTTTCAAAATTGTTTCAAGATTGTGTCCTTGACGACAAATATAATTAAAAGATGTAGAATTGCAGTAATAATATATTGTTAAGTTTTGTCGATCGTGGCTCAGTCAAATGATTTCACTGTATAGCTCTTTTATCTCGCTTGACCATTGCTGACTCAGCAGCATTATGAATTGTGGGAAATTTCCCCTAGACCATATGAGTCCATATAAGGAGTCCAATATGTAAACTAAAATCCGCTGATAATAATTGTTCATGATTACGTTAGTTGAGTTTTTAGAACATATATAGCATAAAACGTCGCAGAATTATCATATTTTTTTATATTAGATTCAAATACTACTGTCAGATATGATATATAACTCGAAGTGGCAAAAATTGGGGAAAAAGACCCCTAAGCAACTGAAAAAATATCTYCGCTACACAGCTTTTAAAGACGAGTATATCTGTTATAATGATCAAAGTAAAAAATGGAACGTGGAACCTGGCGACCAAGTATTTTACCAAGGAAAAGGACGATTCTACAACCACCATCTTTTGTGTACTGATGTTAAGGCCAACATGGTTGACTATATTGAATACGGAAAATCGAACATCAGTTTCAGGAAAGCATGTTTCCATATACTTTCAACTGGAGCATTCAATCCAATGATGTTAGGAAAACTCCAGAGAGGACAAATAAGTTTTGATGAGCTTGTAAGCAAGAAGGTAATTCAGACACACACACACAAAAAAAGACAGAAAATACCAAATGGTTCAAACAAGTCGCAGTGAGAGAATTGAATTTTTTTAAAGTCATTTATTTCAATTTGTTTCTCCATATTTCATTTTTTTTCATTCAATTGCAATTGCTATACAATTAGTGACAACTATTTATAATTACAATTTAATAATGGAGAAAACTATGCGTAGTTAGCCTCTCTAGATAATTCTTGCCATATTAAACTAATTAGTCGGTTTTCAAACAATTATTATTACATTTGTCAAAGGCTTGTCCCCCCTTCTTAGAGTAAATAAATTTTACGACGTTTGTATTTATCAAGGGTCAATGATTGGATTGAATGGATGCACGACTCCTCAAACGCCTTTGGTCACTGCATCGTTACTATTTTGATAGAGCGTATTTCCTATGACTGTGCAAAAACACGGCACTTTCGAGCAGTGACCGTGCCGTGACGGTGATGTGTTCTTGAATCACTATTTTCATTTGGCTCGCTACCAGTAGAGGTTCCGTGACCATGCCGTGTCGTGTCCTACACATGGTTTTCTCTTCTTTTATAGATGTTTTTTTAGTATTTATCGTATTTTTGTCTTTGCGTTTTAAATTTAACGACATCGTTAAACTTTGAGAGGGTATGTTTTGCCCGTGACTTTGCAAATTCAAACGAAATCCGCTCTATAAGAACAACGGATCATTTCACCAGTTTACTCGAACACTTCCTATCATGGATTACTGATATTTAACAATTTCCTTTTTTTTGCTAGTTTACATGCTTTCATTTCTTTAATTTACAACCATTCATTTTATTTTTATTTCATTTTACATTCTTCTCGGTATTAGGCTAAGAAGAGAGTCTGGTTAGAGCAACGGTTTTCAGCTAATGAAGTTATCAATCGTGCCAAGTACAGACTGAGAACAGAAGAAACTGGACAGTACAACATCTTGTACAACAACTGCGAAAGCTTTGTCAACTGGTGTAAGTGTGGCCTGAACGTCAGTTTTCAAGYGAGCCCCTGGCACGAACACGGTTGGGAAGCTGCTAAAGCAGCCGAATTAGTAGGAGCGATTGTCATGTCTCCCTTGGGACCAATTTCATACGTTAGTGGAGGGGTACTAGGCGCATTTGTAGGACACTGTCTGGANTATGTTTTGTGCTGCTCTTAATTAAAGGAAGATCTAACTTTAATTTTGTCATTTTGTCGTGAATAAATTGGGGATTAGAAATGATATCTCTACGCACGATGTTTCGTTGTGCATCGTTGTAGTGTTCGTTATCGACGAATTTATTCCATAAAACAATATCTTTTCACGCCATTCTCCCTATATATCCTTAGATTTGTAACATACGATTAGAAAGGAGTTTCCTTTTTTTAATTCTTTTACGGAAATTCCCCAAAAAGTTTGATTTTACACGGGTAAACTAATGTTCAAAATATTGTAAAATAGAGAACGTGGACTCTTATCCATTGCAACTGGATCTGGACGGACTGAACAGAGTAATAAATATGCAGGAAATAATCTGTAATTCTAGAAGATATTATTATTATTATTTGCCTATGTTTTTCATTTTTTTCTTTTCAAAACAATTTCAGTCATAATGGGAGGAAAAAAAATAACTGCTAGTTTTGATGAGCTCACAATGTCAAATCCTTTGATTCTGTTATCCTCTACCACAACATCAGTTAATGTTTTACAATGCCATCCRGATGATGTACATAATGCAATTGATGAGAAAATACCTTCAGGAACTAGTGAAAACAGCACAAATAGCTTGGCCAGCCCTAAAAGAATTTTCTTTTCCTGTGTTATATACAATCAACCAGTGTGAAATCACCACAATCACGTCCAAAAATATGCCTTCCTATCACCTCTAGTGAAAGGAAAAGTAATTTCAAAAGGCATGACAGAAAACTTGCAGGTTGTGGACTGTTGTTAAAACACCTTTACATTAGTACTTATATTCACCATGGTAAAGATGGAATCATACACCTAACTGAAAAAAGGGAAAGAAAGCTCAAGTTACATCAAGAAAAAAAATATTCAATATAGTCTAAATGAATGGTTAGCTAAAAACACTACTCTGGAAAAAACTTGATTAAGAATGGGGAAAAAATGTATATGTATATTGTATACAATAGAAACTATAAGAATTTGTATATAGTAGAAAAAAGAATTTGTATAGAAGAATAAGAATTTGTATACTATAGAATTTGCTTTTAGGATACATGTAGAATTAAAATCCATTATAGATAATCTTATTATCCTTTCTTGTTTCAAATTTTATATCAAGCACAATGATAATGTTTGGATTTTTCTCTTGTACATATCTTAAATAAAAAGGCAAAAACAATATGAATATACTCCATTGATCTGATCATTGTTAAAACTATCTATGATATGACCATAGTTAATATTAACTATGATATGACTAACCCAATTTTCTGCAGCAGGTGGAGCATGATAGCTGATCCCATGTCATTTATTCCAACTTTACTGTGAATTTCATGTTTTCTACATGTCATTAAAAGATTAAGCTTGTCTTTCATTTAGCTTAATAGCCTCTTGAACCAAATTTATGGTAATTGGTAGCTTTGTGAAGAACGGAGAAGCCGTGAGGAATAATTTTGTACGACGTTCCGCCATATTTCTTCCTTCTATTTTGCTAGTGCCAGTCTCTCTCGCGCATAATAATCGAACAATCGCTTCATAACAAGTCAAACTCTGGGTTTGYGACCCTGTAGCTCTTAAACTAAACCGGTTACACCCATTTTTTTCGCTATAATTCGAAAATAAATATAATAATCTTGAAAGTAAGTCAATAAAAAAAGGAGTTTACTTTTAAAATTGAGGAAAAYTTTCAYCATTTGTACAAGTAACACGAGTGTTCTGCGGTCAAATTGAAAGGAACTTCTCATCGAGGATGAACTTTTTTGAGACTATTTTAAAAGAATGGATGAGATTTTCACTCCTGTAAGGTCCATTGCCTCAATGAGCATTGTTTTGTGAAGTTTCACYTGTCTTAGACGAAAAATGCTAGAGTTATGAAAATATATTCAGCATAGCGTACTTTCGCAAAAAGCGCGCGTAAAAGCGCGAAAATCACTCATTTTTCTCGTCTTGTAGGTCTGTAACTAACCCGGTTACCCCCTATTTTTGTCACGCCATATAAACGCTCTATCATTTATCTTTTCATGGTGAAAATTTCAAGAAGCCTGACTTTCAAAATCGCGCGATCCGGTACTACCTTAAA